ACTTTGACCTGCATATTGATAGCATCACCGTGCTTTGATTTCAGTTGTAGGCTTTGGTGACCTGCCGGGCTTTGTAAAGCTCATTATATGTGATTAAAATTTTCAGGTCCGAGCAAGGCAACTGGAATGGAGTTCGATCAGAATGTCAGACGAATCCTTTCACTATTGATCTCTGGGGCATCACACAAAGCCTACCTCCACTCTCAAAATTATTCCCAAAATTCCTATAGCGGAGAAGGTTGACATGATTCCTAGTGATGATATTATTTCCACAAAAGAGGGTGAATGAAGAAGATACTTGACTAGGTGAAGAGGTGAATCAAAGGCAGGGGATACATGGTCAGAGTGCGAGGAGCTACAACAGATAAACCCATATGCACAAGGAATTTTCGAGACACCAACTCGATAGAGTCGAGTTTTTCTCCCACCTGGGGAGAATGATGAGGGCATCGAAGATCAACGGCTACGATCGTGTCTATTTATTTTCATGTATTTTATTTGTTATTTATATTTTTCCATTTCTACCCTCACTTGAAGGCTTTGTTTTATGTTTGCCCTAGGGGCAATTGTGTCTTTTTATTTTCCCTCATGTATTTGGCTATTTAAGCCCTCCCCTTCCTCTTGGAAAGGGATGATGATTATTGAAATAAAATTCAGCTTTGTTCAAGATCTCTTTGTGAGTTCTAGTTTTGCCTTGATCTCTTTGTGAGTTCATGAGGGTGAAGCTTAGGAGAGGCCAACGGAGTACCCAACAGCTCAGCGGCGGGTTTCCGTTTGGAAGGTTTCTCCCTAATAACTCTCCCCTAGTCCGTGATCTACTGAGGAATTTTCCGCCTTCACCCAGCAGCTGTCCCACAGTCCAGAGATTCCTGTTCTGCTGTCCAGAAATATCCCGCCAGCAACCTGTTCCTTCAGATCTGAGAAATCAGCCATTTCATCCCGCTGATCTGCTGATTGAATAGTCCCCATTGCAGCCCAGAGATTTCCAGCAAGTTTCCTTTGTTGTCCAACAGTTCGGAAGCTCCCGTTTGATGTCTAGGAGTGCCCAAATCAACAAGAAAACTGTCCAAGAATACCTCCTTGCTGCTGTCCAGTTGATCGGAGACTTACTGGTTGCTGTCATCAGTCCAGGAACATCAAAATCAGCAATGAGGCTAACCAAGAAGGCCTTCCAACGGCTGTCGAGTGAAAATCAGGGGCAGTCCTGAAATTCAGGACCTCCTCCCTTGCCGTTCTTTGGTTCGAGAAGGTTCAAAGGTTGCGTGCTAATATCCACTCTCTCTCAAGCACCTTAATTGCCGTATCGGAGCTTCATCTCACCTTTGTCCTTGGGTAAACTCTTCATCCAAACTCTCCTATCTTCTTAGTTCACTTATCTCTTGTGGTTATAGTTTGATTTACAATGATCATGCTAATTCTTCCCCGCTAAAACCAAGTAATCGTAGGGAGTTGAGTGAGTGGACCCTTGCTTAGTGACTAATCTTATTGTTAGCATTAGAATTTAATGTTGAAAACCATCATGCATGCAACGTTAGGTTAAATTGATTATTATGATATTAACTCCTATGCATGTGATTTAGCCTAAGCTTGTCTTACCCCTCTTTGTGTTTTATGTTGTCGTTTAAAATCAATTTAAAGGTATAATTATTGCGAGCTCTAAAATTAAGCGTGCAAATTCCTTAATCTATTCATCCATGCATGTATGTTCTACATCAGCAGGCATGTTTGCCGCCCACAATAGTAGGTCCCACTATTCCAATTGAGTTCAAATTAGAGGGAAAATTGATGGCGTATTTGTAAAATTGATTTGGAGGGAAAATTGATTTGGAAAGTTTATGTATTAAATAGCATGAGGTGTTTTAGGGTTAGGGCATGCTTGATTTGATTTCTATTGATGTTCCTTGGCTTCTTGGGCTGTAGACTAACTTATTTAGAGATTTTGAAGAGACGATCCTCCTCTCGTATTTATGATCACTTGTATCATGTTTTCGTGTTTGTTTGGCTTTTATTTTCTTACTGCAATCCATCGTTTTGTGGCTGATTTTATCCAGATTTTGCATTATTCTCTATGTTTTCACCAATTAGTGCTAGGTTTGCTTGCGAACTCGAGCATTCCCCTTAGGGTTACTTGCGAACTCAAGTATACCCTTTCATAATGTCACTAAAGTCAACCATATTCTCATAATCTTCATTGGATAGTTCAACAAAATATATTATCCATCTTTGTTGAATATCCTCTTCTAATAAAAACATTTTTTGATCTTCATCCTTATGCACTTCACTTGAACTAAATCATTACTACTACTATCTCTTTGTTTGTCTAAATTATACTTATATCTTTTGCCATCCTTAATATCTAATCTATTATATTTATAAAAAAAAGTAAAATCTTTGCATCGGATTTTACTTTTTTTAGACTCCGTACACTAATGACCCCCCTGAGAAAGGGTATTTCTTAGTCTATGCTGACCTTAAAGTAGTATAGCTGTGGGACAGCAGAGCGGCTAAAACAGTGAGAAATGAAAAAGTTAAAACATCATGGATCATGTTCTTTTTGGTCTGCTTATAAAGTCTGCTACTCGGTTGAAGTTATTACATATCCTCTCTTTCTCTTATATTGATTGGAGTTGCATAAGGGAAACAAACGACAGCATTTATAGATGAGATGGAGAGAAACAGGTATAGAGAGGGTAAATTACCATATATTTTAAGTTTATAGTGACATTAAGAGAGATATAGTGCGTTTCACTTGACCTGATTGTGATTCTTGTTTTTGTTGGTAACAAGGAACTGTTGATCCTCTTGTTTCTTTATAATTCCTATGAATGCATTTTATAAATGCACTTCTTTTCAAAGGGAAGTAGTTTGTGATAGTTCTGAAGTATTCTATGTAGCTATGCATGTCAGTTCCACTTTCTATGTATTGGTGATTGTTTCATATGTTTTTTGGATTCAGTTCCTTTGGGAAAGGGTATCTTTTTAGCCTATGCTGACCTTAAAGAGGGATTGCCTTGGGAGAGCAGAGCAGTGAAAACTGTGAGATATGGAAAAGTTAATATGTCATGGATCTTGTACTATTAGATCTGCCTATAAAGTCAGCTACTCAGTTGTATTAAATGCATATCCTCTCTCTTTCTCTAATATTGAATGGAGTTGCATAGGGGGAAAAATAAGGCAGCATTTAGAGATTAGGGGGAGAGAAGAGGAGGACAAATTACCATATATTTAACATTGAGAGGGAGATTAAGAGAGATGAAGTGTCTTTTACATGACCGGATTTTGATTCTTTTTTTTTTTTTGGTAACAACTGTTGTTGGATCCTAATGTTTTCTTTGCAATTTCTATTAAGTTATTCTGTAAATTCAATTCAAATCCGGGGGAAGTAGTTTGTGATAGTTCTCAAGTTCATTGTTCATTGCAGTGTCAGAAGATTGCTAATGAATTTGTTAACAATAACTCTCATGTAATGGAAAATTTTGGCAGTTTCTTACTTGCTAACTTAATTATGCAGAATCTTTTTATTAATTACTTGATGAGTTCAATTGTCTTAGTCTCGATTCTAAATTTTAAGTATGCTGATGAATCTTACAATCTCTTGCTATGAAAAAGGAAACATGAAATTGCATCGAAGGCGTATAATATTTTTGCCTTTTAATATGGAAATCCTATCAGTTGCCTCATTTTTACCATGAAATAAAATTAAGGTGTAAATATATGGCGGTTGCAAACATTTGTACCATAAATATTATGTGTAGTAGTGTGTAGTGATTATTTCTTTTTTGAGTAAAAAGTTTAGTGGGCAATGATGATGATGATGGTGGTTTAGAATTTAGCCTAAATATTTCTATGTTTCCTATAGTATATGGCATTCTGGATGACCTGAAGTTTCTGGAGCAACCACCGCTGACATTATGATGGAATTCGTGCATAGTAAAGCCTCTACATTTTTCCTATGTCATGGATTCATTGTCATCATTTGAGCCTTCTTCTTTCTTCTTCTTCTTCTTCTTCTTCTTCTTCTTTCTTTTTGCATAATCCTTTTGGTTGAGTTTGTTTTGGAGGAATTTGGACAAACGACACTGTTTTCCTATTTGACACTTACTCGGCCTTTTCTCCAATCTAATTTTAGCTCGTGTTGTTGGAACTGTGTCTCTGGCTCTGTTATGGAAGAAAAAAATCATTAAAGAGAAATATACATATGATTTACAGTTAGAAATACTATATGTAGCTTCATCTTCTCCATGAAATACATTTGGGAAGGCTTTATCATTTGACATTTATGATGATTTGTGCCATACTCATAACGGGTAATAGTGCTTTGATTATTTGTTTTAGGAGTTCAAAAAAATTACGGGGAAGATTATGATGATAATGGTTTAGAGTTTGGCTTCGTTGTGCAGTGCTTTTATTGAGTATCTCTATGTTTTCTATGGCTATACATGAATAACAAAATTTTTTGACAGCTCTAAATAACAAGGGACTTGAAGATCCACTTGAAGGCAACTCCTTTACTATGGGAATGCCTTACATCGAGAATTACCTTGATCAGGCATTAACCTTGATCAGGCATTAATATGTGCTCAAACACAAGATTGTTTGATCAAGTATTTTTCTAATTCAATTGGATTACATGAAGGATCAGCATTAAGCCCTCTTTTTTTTTTTGCATTAGTCATGGATCTTACTTGTTACTTGTAATTTCCTCAATAATGTTATCATCGAGATATGTGTTGGTTGGTAGAACATTGCTGGTGATTGCCAACAAGTGTCTGATCTTCTACAATTCAAGTTTACTTATACTCATTTTGCGATGGCGAATATCAAGGATGGCTTAAAAATTTTCAGGCAACCGATGTTATGATTATACCTATTTATACCTGACTAGGAAGACGGGTGCTAATATTTTAAATATGATTGGTGAGTTGGTTTTCTTGTGCATATCATTTTTTTATGGAGTGATATGGAAAGAACGTTAAGGGTTGACTAATATGTTTCACACTCGGAAACAACCTAGTTCAAATGTAGCTACAAGTACTTCAAATTCTAAAATTGAGATTTTGATTATAAATAGAATGAGCTTGAGAGGATTCAAATGGAAAGATGGATGTTGATGATGGAATGTTAGTAATGATTAGGTTTTAAAAAAATTTTATCGTGGATTTGCATAAAATTTTGAAACTCCTTCTGAGCTCGTGTTGCACAAAAACTAAGACATTACCTTCTCTCACACAAAATCAGCTGAATATCCCGAATCAATATCCTTTACAATATTTGATGACAAAGCCCACTACTTAAAAAACCACTAATTATATACCTAATATCTAAGATTAATCATTTACTTACATAACACAAAAAAACTCTAATAACATAAAAATACCACTTAGTTTAACTCCATCTTCGTTGCATGTTAAATTCCCCTATCCTCTCTCGTAACTTTATAATTTTCAGTTGTTGTCTGCCGCTATCGCTAAGCTCTTCTATTGGTCTTATTAGAGGATCAGTTGGAAGATGATCTCGCTGGAGGATGAGCAGGAAGTTGATATTGTTGGTCTAAATATTTTGTGGAAGTTATCAATCTCCTTGTTTTTGTTATAAGGATGAGTGAGAATCGAAGTCATTAAAGTCACTGTCACTATTATAAGACTGGAAGCTCTCACTTATGGATGAGTTCATGGATATGTGTTGATGTAGTCAAAATTTATCATTTTTTTTTTCAATTTTATTTTATTGTGTTTTGGACGTTATGTAATTTTATTTTGTATGACCCTATAATGAAAAACAACCAATGATCATGCTAGGTTTGATGCTCTCAGGTCAATACACTCTATTGGCTTTCCACTTGTGTTTTCTTGCTCCTTTTCTCCTGTGGCTATTCAGTTTTTCCTACTGTCCACTCGATTTCCCTACTGCTGGCTACTCGGTTTTCCATTTGTTGTTTTCCTGTGTGGAATGCTTTGACGACTTTTCTCTTATGAAGACAATCATTTATGACTCTTTGATGGCTTTTCTCTTAGGTAATATTAAATTACTCATTATTTATTGAAATTAATATCATGACTCAATTCAAGTCTTTTACTTTTTTTATAAAATAGTGAATAATGAATAATTCAGTTCTTTGAAGAGCAATTTTTATTAACAAAACCGTTAGTGACATGGATAATTTTTATTATATAATAACTTTTAGTAACAATTATACATTTTTCTATTTAAAGATCATCATAATTATAAACTTAATATTATTTGTAATATCTCATTAATTTAATCAATAGTTACTTAAGAATTAAACAACTAGTTATGACTCATTGAATAATATAATATATGATTTAAGTAATTATCAAATTAAAATCCTATTTTATAAAATACTTCCATTAATTAGAATTTAAATGCTCAGTACTCAACTCAATCCTATATTATGATTCTTTCAAGGAATTGCTTTTAAAATTTGGAAGTAAACTATAATCCATACCTCACAAAAGAAATAGATCCTTGTGAGTTAATATACATCAATCCCATTGAAAGAGAACCTACAAGTCAATGCCAATTTCAAGCTATTTCTTCTGAATCATAAATTAGGGAAACTTAGGTCTGAAGAAGAAGATATCTCAATCCTTCCCATTCTCAGTTTTTTTTTCTGTGGTTCAAGCTCGGCTTTTTTGCATATACAAGTTGAGTTTCCTGCCCCCTTTCCAAAGCATAGTTGCTCACTCAACATCCTTCTCTCTACCTCTCCTTATTGGCAGTTTCCCTCCCTTGATCTCTCACTCTTTGTTCCGCTCTCTCCCATTTTTTCGGTCTCACTCTCTGTCACTTGGTCATTTCGTTCGACTCTTCGTTGTCTATTTTTGAACACTTTATTTTGTTTACTTCAATTAATTAATCACTTAATCAAATTTTAAGCAGTAATTTTATTTTAAATAAATTTACAATTTACGAATTGATTAAATCTTAACTCCATCTAATGATTGTTAATTAATTACTTTTTTTTTTCAAAAAATCCTAACTAAATATGCCAAATTTTTTTGCCTTTACATCCCCATTTATAAAAATTTGCATACTATCCCTAGTTACAATATTATAGCCTAAACTATTGTCAGCAATACATCACTAAATAAATCTAGACATTGATACTTAATGTTTACATTATCATAAAAACATCAACTTAAAATCTACATAAGTATGAATATCGAGTATAAAATAAAATATTTGATGTAAAGTAACATATTATTATGTGTTTAACATTAGCAACACATTAACAAACTTATTCAAAATCAATTTTGTCATCAATAGGTTCTTTGGGCTCTTGTTGAGTCAAGGCATAGATCTGTGGTTACATATTCTACCTTTGTTGATCCTTAGTATGAGTTAATGCATTAGACTTAGACACTTCCTATTGTACACATATTAAAACTTAACTGAGATGGGGCTCTCCATGATTTTCCATCTGATGTAAACTTCAGACTTATGCATAGAGTTAGGTTAGTTTCTCATATGATTTCTCTACTGCCGACATAGATTGCATATATAAGAGTGCACTGTCATTTTCCATGATGTGATTTCTCACATTTAATATAAGTTTCCATAGCCCTACTAACAATTCCACTACTTATTCCATTGGTAATGTTATTGGGCTTCTTCTAATTTGAGCCTTTGACTAAGTAACATGTTCACCCTAATGAGTGCTCTTCCTTCTATGTAGATCTCTGTGCTTCTAAGTGGTTTCAAAATCAATTTATATCATGTTTGCCCTCTCAACTTGTATTAAATAATCTTCAATCCCTATGGGTAGTAGGGTTGTCTAATCACATCATTTAATCTAGATAAGAATCAATGATATATTTTTTTCTTGCATTTGAAATTAGTTGTAGTGCATATCTTGACGGGGCGGTGAATCCCACTTCATATATAATAAAATTTTCTCCTTGCATTAATTGATAAGCTTATATTGCATCCGTCTCCTTGCAGATTGAGGCACAAATTATTTTTTGAAAATTTCTACAGAATCTCCTCATTTAATTAGAATATTAGGTAGGTCTCCTAACTTGTCTTGATGTTGTCCTCTCCATTTTCAACTTCTTCATCTAACACAAATGTAGCAAGCGACAATTTCCTTCATTAGGATAGAACATACTATCCAATATCATCTCAATATTAATTAGCCAATTTTCTGCTTAAATGGGTCATTCAACTTTTGTAAATGATGGTAGTTGCATGCCCAGGAACAACTTCAAATATTTATTCATTGAGGTGGTATTGTTACTTCCATTATGTTGAGATATTAAGTATGAGATCATTTGTTTTGTTTCTCTCATCATCTTAGTAGGAGCATTTATATCAATAATAACAAACTAAAAAGTGATCAACAAATTAAATTAACTAAAATAGATTCTAATTCATTAATATTTAAACTTTAATTAAAGTTTTCTTTTCTGGCCGTCAACGAATTCTAACCTTAGGTAACCCGAACTAAATCATCCTACATAGGACCTATCCAAAACCACACAAGTCTTACACTACATAGAATTGTTTGCTAGGGCACCACTTCTAGACTTAGGTTAGGCCGGTGCTGTTCTTTTCTGTGCTTTTCTGTGTTGTGATCGCTCTTGCATCTGGCACGTGTGCTGGTTGTTTTGATTGATGTGAGTATTTTATTTTCGTATTGCACTTTACTCCCTTCTCTCTGTGGATGATTGTGTGTTAGACTTACCCTTAGGTTAGGAGCGCTTTCTAGTAATAATATTTTCTGCAGGTGGTCATGCTCATGCAACGCAAAATAAAAAGAGAGGGGGCAATTATCATGATTTAAAATGCTGATAATGTCTTATGCAGGTGCTTCGAAAATCGCTCAGCCCCCTTAATTAAATGAGGGCTAAAATTCATTTAATAATAACTGTTACAGGTGCTCTAGAACTGTTTAGCCCTCAAAATAATTAAGAGCATGACCAAGCTTGTTTACCTTTTTGCAATATTATTAATTGCTTACGATGAGATATATTAATTACTTGGGATGATTTTTTTTTATTAGGATAACCATGCAAAAGTCTGGGTCTAAATTTTCTATTTTCTAAATATAATGTAATTTTGTAATTTGTAATAAATAATGAGTTGTGAAAGTCTTGAAAAGTCTGGCATTTCAAACACCTGAGTACCCAAAGAGAATAAGAAAGACCTCTTTATGGGTGAATTTTTTAGTCATTTGGGTACTCCTCGGAAGGACAATACATAGAAGAACCTGGAGACGATCCCTAGAAGAATCCAAAAGATGACGTTCCAAAGGAGATGATTCAGAGAGGAGATGATCCACTAGAAAATGAAGACCTGAAGAAGAAATGACCGGCTTTTAAGACTTGCATCATTCTCTAGGATTATAATCCAAGTTGTTGTCGGTGGAGCCTGGCCACCATTACTTTTCTGCATACCCTGGGTTGTACTTATACGACACTTGCTGTGGACTTTGGACTTTCTCTTTTACTCTACTTGATTTTATTTATATTGATGTGTTTACTATGTTTGCGCAGTAAAAATTGCCTGCTTTTTTTAGATTTCTTTATTGCATGTGTGTGGCCATATTTTTGCTAGGCTCTTTAGGATAAAAAAACTTTTCTACTCATAACTAATGACCTAAAATTTTAAGAATTAAGTAATATAGAAACTTAACGATCTAGGGAACTGTCAGAATCGTCCGGGGTCACATGCATAATGTTGCATTCTTCTTTCCTTGTTATAAGACACCTCCCCGCCTCCGGGT